AAATGTGAAAGAAGGAAAAGCTGCTCAGATTCAGTACTTTTGGTGCTGAGGAATACAGCAAAAGAACACCAAAGTAAAGGAAAGAAAGAGTTATACAGAACAGTGGAAAAAACACCTAAGTAGATCGATGGGGTTTCTGATTTTGAAGTTTTTTCTTAACTATAGTTAAACCACCTCAACATAGAGGGACAGTTAAGGAAACTCCCACTTCTTGCCTCCTTCCCTCTAGAGCACTTGCATGGATGGCTAAGAAATGCAACAAGGTTAAGGCAGGAAGCAAGACAATACAATAAAGGGCGTAAAACAGCCTATCGCAGCTCAGATTGAGATATTTATAAGAGAAAATCTGAAGACAAACTTTTTTTCCCATGCTTTTCCTATTATAGCTAGGAGTGACAATGTATCTACACACTGCATTCTGCGACCATGTGTAGTCCCTACCATCTCCTGCTTCTTATTCATCCCATCCTTAATTGCTTCAAATTAAGTTTGTGTCTACAAATAAAATTAAAAACCCTCCAGATAAACTCAACGTAGCATAGCTCTCTCCTAACAAAATAATTCAACATAAACACGAGGCTTTCTAAGAACCTATGGCTTATGATTTGATCATAACTCATTGCTGGAATTGGGAGTGGCCAGATCACAGATTAGCACAGCAGAAGTAGAACAAGATGTCCTACCTCCCTGGTGGAGACCTAACACTTGCTATACCTCTCTTTCAGTCTGGCTTGCTGAACTGCTGGCCAAGCACTTCATCAGATAATCAAGATGAAAGGCTGAAGAGGTCAATTAGATAATCTTAAAAACTTTTAGAAAATAAAAGGTTTAACTATTTTAATACAGTAATCTCCTTTGCAAATTTAATTAGGAGCCTTCAAGAAAGCAGATGATCGGAGAGCCCTATCTGGAAATGTTTCAATATTTAAAGGATTTACATAGTTTAAAAATATTTTGGAGGTCTCATCTGCTGTAGGCTAGGGCAATAAAAATTGGTGAGTGATGTAGCAAGCCACCACAGACAGCTGTTTCATACAAGCAACTGTTTCACAGAGTTAGCCACAGCTTTAGGTCACCTGTGACATGAGAGCTCTTGTTAAAACCAGTGAGAATTTAGAGGAGCAAACAGGTCACAATCAGAAAAAGCACAAGAACAAAAGGACAGCTGCTCTTCTTCCTACTAAAAAGCCACATGAGTTAGAGAGCAGGACTGGGCTTCAGATGGCTTTAAAACGGCATGAGTAAAATTCACGAGAGGAGAATGCCAATGAGGCAAAGAACAAGTCAGCAGTTGTCTAGAAATAGCCATTGGAGTTTAGTTTGGAGTAACATTGGACCAAAAGGCTGGGGTGCAAAGTTGACATTGATAAGCTTAGATCCCTACAAAACAGTTTCATCATTGGACGAAAGGGTCTGAAATTTCTACTGAAGGAAACAAACAGCAGATACTTCACAAACCTGACTCAGGCACACATCACCAGATCTGAAAGAGAGTATCAAAGTAACTGGACACACCAGCACCTCTTGTCGCTACCAGCTGGATATCATCACAGACACATTTCTGCCATGAGCAACAACTACGCTTTACATCTGCTTCAGTGTCAAATCTGCCAGTTCAAACTGCTTCCAGCAGTAACTTCACCCAGCCCGTCTGACTTGGCTCCGATGCACATTAGCACTTTTACGTATTACTTCCCACCAGCACACCAGTACATTACCTCCTCGCTGCTGCTGACTTTCAAAGATGGAAAATGGTATCTTCACTAACACAGTACTTGCAAAGCTTAGACAAATAGTTCGGTTTCAGCAACAATGCCAGTCAGGCAATTAAGCTACCTTTGAGTGCACCAGTAGGCTGCTCAGAAGAACAAGGCACTCTTATCAGACAATAACGCTTCATGGATTTAGAGTATTTTCCCTTAGAAACATTTCTAAAATACTTGCATATATGACTAGGTTAAGATTTCAACAAAATGACTGCAACCAGAAAATAAGTTAAATTGCACTAACAACAACAACAAAAAAAAAAGGCTTGCATTAAACTGGTCTGTCTTGTGGGCTGTTCAAAGTAATAAGGTCAGTGCAAATAGGCTGAAATTAAAACTAGTTTCAGCCAGAAAACACATGCCAGCATACACTGACACTGATGGAAGAGAAGCAATAAGATTCTGAACTTTTACTCAGAAGGAATTCTCAAGTACAAAAGCCACAATCAAGATACAGAACAGACATCAAAACAAATTTGATATGTGCTTACCGGGATGTACAAATCTCAGTCCCTGCTCTCTGAATCGTTAGATGGAATAAAAGAGTTAGCCTGCACCCTGGTTTTTGTTTGGGTCCCCACCTCTTCTCGTCTATAAAAACAGCTCAAAGGTTTTTCCTGTTGAGAAACTCAGATCATTTTTTCCCCTCTCGACGACAGATGACTACAAAACTAACCAATTTATTACTGATAAGAAGTAAGCGGAAAGGAATGAGAAACAGTTTTTAAAGTGTCTCTTGTTACATAAATCAGCCTAAAACCAACTGGAAATAGTCTCATTAGAAGTGAATGAAAAAGCTCTTCAGTCAGAAGGCTCCAACACACAAGTTTCTGCACCCATCGTCAAGACTGTCCTGTAAAATTTGCCTATGAGATCTAAAATGACATTTTTGAAGTACAGCCATAAAAAAAGTATACAGTGGAAACAGCTAAAAAATACCTCTCAAGGTACCTTCCTGCATAAAAAGTAGCAATGGGTCATTCTCAAAGTCTTTCTATCTATATTCACAATTGCCCCAGCGCCTAACTGTTTCATTTTAAGTGAGAAAAATTTAGCACTGGCTCACAGAAGTGTTGTGGGGGGAGGGATGACACTGCTACTAGTTTTTGTTTTGTTGTATGACCCTAGTCTTCAACATATGCAACAGAGTAAGATAAGCAGTGAGATTTAGAATCATAGAATGGTTTAGATTGGCAGGGACCTTAAAGATCATCTAGTTCCAACCCCCTGCTATGGGCAGGGACACCTCCCACTAGACCAGGTTGCCCAAAGCCCCATCCAGCCTGGCCTTGAATGCTTCCAGGGATGGGGCAGCCACAACTTCCCTGGGCAACCTGGGCCAGTGCCTCACCACCCACAGAGTGAAAAATTTCTTCCTGATATCTATTCTAAATCTCCTCTCTTCCAGTTCCACCACACCACAAAAATGAAGACAAACAAAAGCAACATTCGGAGGTTCAAGGATGAGCCTAATCCTGACTTGGTTCTGACAGAAAACCGCTGTGAAACTACTAGCTAAGGCAGCTGTGCATTTTCTTCAAAGTGGTTGTGTACTCTCCTGAAAAGGCCAAGAACATTGCTGCTGTCTCTTCTGCACCCCTAAAATGCCGTTTCCTCATGTTGTGGAAACCTTCCCATAGATACCCTTTTTATACACACAGCAAAACTACTTGCGTTAAACTGGCAGGGGGTTCTTTTCTACACACAAACAGCAATCATATCTTTAATGACCTGTTATGTGTCCCTCCAGGAAAAGAGAGGTTATTGCTTTACGACACATGAGCACATGAGACATTAAAAACCCTTTAAGACAGACTTAAGTTGGCATAAAAATTGATTGCCCCCAAGAGAACTCCGAAAATTCTCTAAAAAAGATCTTCAAAGACACATGTTTTATGGTCATTGTCGAGTGCTTGTGGAAAAAGCCAACAGGTTTAGCCAGATTTTTCCACATCATCTTCTGGCATTTTACAGTTTTCAGTATTAAGCCAAGAACAGAGAAGCCAAGAAGTTCTTTTTTTTCTAAAAAGCAAGAAAACAGTTGGCTTTTTTCAGGTTTCAATTCCTTTTCACTAGGGCGCCAGGAAAATCAAACCTTCCTAAAGACAGACTTAAGATTTAGCAACGGTACTCTGTGTTATCATCCAGAACTTGATTCCCTTTCTTTTTGCAACTGTAACTTAAATAGGGATCCTGGAAAATATTATGACATCAAATTAAGCATTACTGATAACAAGTTTCCAAACTCACTCTTTCAAAAAAAAAAAAAAAAAAGGCTGTTTCTCCAGTGTCTGAGTGAATAAATCCAGAAAGGGGAAAGTTTCCTTGCTTCTGTGTTAACTAGGAGGTAATTTGAAGTTGTCCCAGTATTGCCAATTATTTTGTCAACTAGAAAAAGGGGGTAAAGTAATCCAGCTCTAAGCAATGACACTAAACAAATCAAGCTGCACCCACACTGATGTTCCCCTCCCTTTTTACAGCCGTGCAATGACATTGCACTGACATTACAGCAGTAGCTCTGCCTAAAATAGAGGTGATTTCAAGTTCCTCACAAAGGCAGCCAACATGCAAATAAGTCAAAAATCAATAGAATGGCTGGTTACCAAAAAGTCATCAGCACCATGCAGGCCTCCAAGCTGCAAGTGAGAAAAAGGTCAAGGAACCAGCCTTGCAAGAGGAGTTGCAGGTATCATGATAAAGCTGGTCGAAATAGTTGGGCTCACTGGAGTTAGTTGCACGCTTCTCCAGTTCAAAAGCTTATCCTAGGCTTACAGAGCAAGGTGAGGAAACTTTTGTTAACATGACCCAAGAATTGACATTTCAGATCCATCATTTGAGAAGATGACAGTGGGATTTATTTTCTAGAAGTTTAGGACGGTCCAGACTACTACATCTGCACTTACCTTTCTCTTGTCAATGTCTGAATTCATACGCTCCAGTTTCCAAATACTCAAGTGAGTCACTCAGCAAATACATACAAAATAACTCTACAAAATACTGTCAAATGTAGAAAATAGGAGGGGAAAAAAGCTAGCAAAGTCATGTAGTTAGGTTTTACTACTGATGTACATAACATGACAAGCTATTTCCAAGCTGAATGGGTTGAAGTTAAATACCGTTATTCAAATGTCTTAATTCACAAGTGAGAAGCTTAGGAGGTAAACAAGGGAAAGGGTATTACTGGAAGACAGCTCTTCACATTGCCTTTTAGGGTAAGGAAATTGGACCACTCACCTCCACTGAGTAACTTCATCACCAGCCAAAGCTCATCTTTCACCACGAAGGATGTGTAGTAAGAGACAATGTTGGGGTGATGGCACTGACTCATGGCTTGAATTTCTTTCTGCAGAAAAAAATAACGCATTAGCAGTTGAACACAGTGATGATTATTCCTCAGGCACAGAAGTTATCTTCCTCAAGACACAATGTTCAAAGAGGGTACAAAGAAAAAAAGATACCTAGAAACTAAACATAGAAAATTCAGAAATATTCAACACTCAGCCTGCATCATACTAGGGCCGGAAGGTATTTTAGGGTGCTCTTCCGGTCTGTCTAGGAGAAAGAAAAAGTTGACCACAAACCTCTTGGCAAGGACAAAATAGTGGTCATAACCGAAACACCTGCATGCAGCTACAACAGAATATTCCTGAAAATTCACACCAGTTTGTTACCCAAGAAGTTCATGCTGACTCCTCCTTTCAATGAGACATTACACAACAGATGCTTAATCTGTTGAAGACTATCATTTGGATGAAAAAGGGAAATGTTTGCCTTCGGGGGAAAAAAAAAAAGGCCTCTTATTCCTCATGTTTCTTCCCAGCAGGAAAGCAGATGGCTCAATCAGGTTGAAGGCACAAAGGACAGCTATATCTTTTGTCATACTGGAAGAAGAGGGACATCAGTTCGAGATTAGACAGTAGTTACCTACTACAGATGGAGTACAATATGAAATACACTCAGATATTAAATTGTTTGTGTTTTGACCATGCATACTCTTAGATTTGGTTATCAGTGAAGGGTTGAGGTTCTCCAGGTTATAGAGGGAACAATGCCACAGAAAGCGTTGACTGATTTTTCATTATGCAAGCACAAATCGCCAGTTTGGACAGAAAGCTTTGCAGTTTTTTGACCGCCCATACACAAAAGCCATCCATTAAGCCAAGCCTGGCACCCTGCACTACACCCAGCTGGGCCTTTGTGCTTCAAGCCAAGCTGGTAGCTTCAGCCAAGCCCCCCCAACATGTCAAGTTGTACCCTCCAGCATCATCCACACCAGACACTCATC